GCCTTTTGTTTGACTGGATGCCACAAGAGTGGGTTCAATTCCAGATCTGATGGGCAGCTAGGGGCCATAGTCTCAGGGGTTTCACCAGGCTCTACCAGACCAGCAGACCTGGTCCTTTTCTTTTTATGATTTTTGAGTTTTGTTCCACTTTGTTCTCCTACTCTATCTAGGAACTCTGCTACATAGATCTTCCTCAGAGTGGCTGACCATGAGACCAGAAGAACTAGATGGTGCCTGGCTACCATTATCATATAAGCTGAGGATCACATGGTGTACCAGTCCCTTGGACTGTTTCCATGTGTCTTTGGTTTTCTTCATTCTTCTTTGCTCTGACAAGGAGAGACCATCACTGCATCTAGATGGCTGCTTGCAGCTTTTAAGATCCTGGTCGCTACTTGCCAAAGGAGGATGTGGAACAATGTTTTTGTGTAGTATGTTATGCCAAATGAACTTGATGTCCCCTGTGACCATGGTCCTGAGCCCACAGGTCCAACTACTTGCTCCCTCCAGCTAGCTGGTTGTGGCCAAGTGAGAATAACCATGTCCCTTGTCAGTTCTACTATATACCTGGATGTTCTTACAGAACATACAAATACACTTGTAGAAACATTGTCTGCCAACCCTATACATGGTCATGGGCACACTCCCCCCTGCACAGACATATCTGATCATTCAGCCTGTCCACCCATATAGCCACCTGGAGATCAGTGTTTGCCATCACTGACTGCACAATACTTTATGCGCAAAAAGGTTCATCTTTGTTCACAACTCCACCTTAATTCTTGTTAGACAGGAGACAGAACATATAATTATGCTGCTTCCAATCATGGTGGGATACTGATAGAGATATGAGTAAACTCTGAAGAGAGAAGTGGAATGAATTCTAGATCTGCCTAAAGTCAAACAAGTACTACATACTCCAGTCCCGTGGTAAGTTACTATCCAGCTAAAGGTAAGCAAACCAAAAACCCACTGAGGTGGTCTCAGAGACCAACTACATATGGAGCCTTGCCTGTGGTACCTGCCATCTCTTTCACTTCTTAATGCTCACAGAGTGGCTCTAAGTGGTCTTTTTGAAGTAGAGCAGAATCTGTAAGTCACCTGGAGCCGAAACAGATAGGCTAGCAGTTTTTCTTGGCCTAATGAACTATTTCAGAACCTGAGAAACTGTATTCAAAGTTTAAACGAGGGAACCCTTTAGACCATCTGAAAAATACATGTGATAAAGGCATTCATCTCTCCTAAAACTTTTTATGCTTCTCTTACTCCTTTGCATTTTAGCCCTTGAAGGGGCTCTGGTGGCACAGTGGTTAAGGTATTAGGCTGCTAACCAAAAGGTCTATAGCTCAAACCCACCAGCCACTCTGTGGGAAGAAGATGAGGAAATCTACTTCCATAAAGGTTATAGCCTTGGAAACCTTATGAAGTAGTCGAACTCTGTCCTATGGGGCTGCTATGAGTCGGAATTGACTCGATGGCAATGGATTTTGTTTTTGGTTTGGTGTAGTTCTTGGCAACTCTGAATGTGAAAACAACTGAAGGCTAATGTCTGAAAGCCCACAATAACTTGAGAAGGAAGAGAGTAGGGAAAGGTGAGAGGACCTGGTGCCAGACATTATGTGCTTCCTCAGTCTTCGTAGTCTTCTTTTTTTGCCCTTAATGAGCCAGTGACAACCCAGGTACAAAGGGCTAATTCTAATCTCAATGTGAACAAGCTAAGGTGAGCCACACACATAATAGGAAACATTTAACCAGTAATTCAAATAAAAATTTTTAAAAAAGCAGTCTTAATTGCTAAACTCAAGTTCAGGTTTAAAACTGCAAGATCCTGGGGGCAGGACACAGAACTGATCAGTCAGCAATTAACTACAATCACTTTCACTCTATGCTTACAACTTTGCAAAGAGTTAATTTAGGATTTTTAAACAGTTAAGAATTTTTAACAATCACGCTTGGTATGGAAAACCTATTAAATAAATAAAAATATTTAATATCTTTTAAAATGTAGCACAAGTACTATAATCCCCTACTCACACAAACTTACAGTTAACATTAATTTGTGTACCTAAGACAGAAAATAAGAAGTCATTTTCACTTTTAGCTCATAAATTCCACACCCATTCCTTCGCCCATATTCTGATAGAGCTTTCAACATATTTATTTCAATTGTTATGTATAAAATGAACCTGGAAGCAAAATATTCCACTGTACTACTATTAAAAGAAATAAGGGTGGAAGTATGTTTAAAGTGAATAAAGTTGGACAGCAGAAGCACTGTACAACTATACAAAAGCTGCCTGCAAACTGAAGGCAGTTTCAACACTGTTAGACCATTCAAAATATTAGTTTCAAGGTTGTCTGTTAGTCAGTGCTCTAATTATAGCTTTCTTACTACAATCTTCCTTGGGTTTCTGAGGCGGTACCACTACAGAAGATTGCCCAACCTTCCTTCTGAGGAGTAGGGCTGGTGGGTTTGAATTGCCAGCCTTCTGTTTTAGCAGTCAAATATCTTAGGCACTATACCACCAGAGCTCCCAAGAATCTTGTTAGAAACAGTAATTAAAACCCAGAATATACCATGTCACAGACGGTCAACTGAAATGCAGACTAACTGGACCAAGAAATCTACAAACAAAACAGACAGTTATGAGCCTGATGCCCAAAAAGTACCCACACCCTGCACAAAGTTCTCTCTGGAAACTGGATGAAGTCCACCATTGAAAATGTTCGAAACGGTGGTACACTAATCAGTGTATGAGACTCTCTCATGAATAAAACCAGTGCCATTGAGCTGTTTATGACTCATGGCAACCCCATGTGTGTCAGAACAGAATTACTGTGTGCCACAAGGCTTTCTATGGCTGAGTTTTTGGAAGCATATCACCAGGATTTTCTCTTTACTTGCCTTTGCTTGGACTCAAACCTCCAACTTTTCAGTTAGCAAGTGAGAACATTAACCATTTGTACCACTCAAGGAGTCCCTCTTATGAATAATCTATACTAATTTACACACATCAGGATCCTACACCCATATTTCACCAAAATTAAAAATTCTCATTACTCTACTTGAAGGAGCTCCGGTGGTGTAGTGGATAAAGCATTTGGCTGTTAACCAGAAGGTTGGTGGCCCAAACTCACCAGCTGTTCCACAGGAGGATGATGAGGCAATCTACTTATATAAAGATTTACAGCCCTGGAAACCCATTGAGGGTTGCTATGAGTCACAACTGACTCAATGGCAGTGGGTTTAGGTTTTTTTTTGGTACTCTACTTGACAAAGAGTAAGGGATGATGAATGCATGGTTTTTAAGGTTATAATGGAAGTTTTCTTTATATATTTTTAGTACATAAACCTCAAAACATTAATTTATTCTAAACTAGAAGCTAGTAATCTTTTCCTTTTGGCAGAAATCATAAACATTAACCAAACTCTAATAGATACAGCTCACTGATATACAGGCTTCATTCTTCTAAAAGGATGATCTAGCCAAAAGGATAGAAGAACGAATGCCAAAACAAGTAGTATTTTTAAAGAGCACCTAATCTTAAGCCAATTTCTGCATTCCAGTGTCAAGTGTTTACAATGAAGTGTGCAAAGACCTGGAGTGAGAAGACCAAAAGGAAGAACATGATCAGTGTTTCTCAAGCCGAAAGAACTGAAGACAAAATTCAAGCCTCGAATTCCAATACTGAAGGATTCTACAGACAGAAAATTCAATGATAAAGGGAACATCAAAAGATGGCAGGAATACACAAAGTCGTCGCACCAGAAAGAACTGTCTGACATTCAGCCATTTTAGGAGGGAGCATATGACTAAGCAGCAGTGACACTGAAGGAAAAAGTCCAAGCTGCACTGAAAGCATGGGCCAAAAAAAAAAAGACTACAGAAGCTGATGGAATACCAACTGAGATGCTTCAACAAACATGAGTAACATTGAAAGTGCTTACTAATATATGTCAGGAAATTTGGAAGATAGCTACCTGGCCAACTGACTGGAAAAGATACTTATCTGTTGTCTATGCTAAAGAAAGGTGATCAAATGGAATGTGGAAATTATCCCACACTATCACAAGCTGGCAAAATTTAACTGACAATAAAAATGGCTGCAGTCATTTATCAACAGGGAAATGACAGAAATTCAAGCCAGATTCAGAAGAGAGGAAGGAGGGATATCATTACTAATGTCAGATGGGAATACCAGAAAGGTGTTTACGAGTGTTTTAGTGACTATGCAGAGATATTCAACTGTGTGGATCATAGCAAATTATGGATAACATTTCAAAGAATGGGAATTCCAAAACACTTAATTGTGTTTATATAGAAGCTGCATAAAGAAAAGTGCATCACGGTTGGTAAAGCAGAGGGCTAGTGAAAATGAGGGAAGTGACACGGGGGCTGAAAAATGGGCTCAAACATACCAAAGCTTTTAAGGATGGTACGGGACTAGGCAATATTTCATTCTGTTATACGTAAGATTGCCATGAGTTGGTGCTAACTTGACGGCAACTAACAACAACAACAAAATCCCAACCCAATCTTTGTGATGTCAATAGCATTTTACAAAAAATAAGTGAAAAGCTTTTCTCTCAGGATTCTAGAAGAGATTAAACATACGTTAATACTACTATGTGCCACCACAAACATATCCTACCTTCTTTAAGGTAATGTGCTTGTGGTGTAAGAGCTCAAGTCTGAATTAGAAAGAGATTTCTGTGGAATTAAAAATCTCATGCTACAAATTAATACAGAGTTGAGAAATATAATAGCAAGAACACCTTACACTTGTATGAAATTTTACTGTTTGTAAATTACTCTTAAGTAAATAGTTGCCTATTAAATTTTTAGAAGCTCTAGCTAGCTATGATCTCAGAGTACTGCCACAGGAGGTGTCTGAGGATGAATCAGGACAGTTGTTTGTGTTTCACTCTTAAACAAAAAACAGCAAAAAAAATCAAGCTGTCTTCATTTTTTGAAGGTTTATAAAAAATTAATTCTCACCTTCTGGTATTTCTGCCACCATTTGTATGAATACTGGTCTTCCCATGAAACAGGTTTTGAAGGAAATATCTGGCACTTATTGAGTGATTCTAATTGAACTGCAGACATAGTTGAAGGAAGTACACATTCAGGAAGAATTTGCACTTTAGCTTGCTGGATTCTAAAATAAAGAGAACCAAGCATGGTGTGTTCATTTTTAAGATATACTAACTCAAATTATAATTTTCCAAAAAATGAGAGTAATCTTAAATAGTAAGATTTTCAAAGTTTTTTTAAAAAATACATTCATCAAATGCGGAAGTTAAGATACATGAACTCTTTAGAAAACACTACTTCATGAATCATACCAAAATTAAAAGCAAAGGTAACCTAAGGTACCGAGTTTTAATGTCATTATAACAGAGATTTTTACATTTCAGATAAATACACAGAGCATATAAATGAAACGAAGTTTTTTAAAAAATCAATACACCAACTGTCTAAATTGATAGTTCTAAAGTTTTCTGTAAATTCTTAGACACTGTACCACTCCTACCTCCCCAATGCCTTAACCCTGACTCATACCTATCCCATCTCATAAATCATCCAACTTGAGGTACAGATAGAGAACAGAAGAGAAACTCAAGAGCCTATTTACATGGATGAGTTAAAATTGTATTAGAAAGAGCATTACATATAGCCTTCATTTCTATCCACTACTCGTCTGTCAGTCTGTCATACTGTGGTGGCTTGTATGGTGGTGCTTTGATGCTGGAAGCTATGCCACCCATTTTTTACATTACCAGCAAGGTTACCCATGGTGGACTTATTTCTATGTAAATTCTTTTCTCATCCTCAAATCAATTTGAATATGCCAAGAATTCGAAATATGCTTATTATTTTGTTTTTACACAAAAATTATTTAAACTATAGGCTTTTTGAGAATATTTTAATTGCCAAAACCTTGTCATGAACGAATACCAATAGACTGTATCTATGAGCTTGACACATTATGCCCCCAGAATAGCTTATGAAATGTAGAGTATTATCAGTACATTCAAATGCTGGAATAAAATTGCCAAATTGATAGGGTCAAATATATCAAAAGTCTCTGCTTCATTATTCATAATATTTAAAGACTTCTACAGTGGTCTTTAATAGCAACCACTGCCATGACTTACAAAGTTATGAATTAAATTATGTTTCTATTTATTAAATGAAAACAGCTCAGTGTGTCTGAAAATATGTAGGCTTAATGTAATGGTAGTATTACATTCATTCCACTAACTCCACTTCCTTCTGGCAAGCTCCTTAAAAACACTAGAAAATTTGTATCTACAAGCCATAGGAAAATACTAAAAAAGACAAATCAATTCAACTGTTCTGGTATTATTAGAGCTCATTAAAAACAAGCAAAATCTCAATTCTCACCTGACCCATGAACACAAATACTAATCTATGGAAATTAAAAAAAATCTCATTCTTCAAGTTTATCAGTAACCAAATGAAATGTTTACCCACCTAGAATGTATGATTTTATTTTATTATGATAAAAACATTAATATTGAAGGTACTGGGATGAAGACTGAGAATTGAGCCACCAGCTTAGGACTACTTGGGTCCTTTGCAATGTAAGCTGTCTGAACTGCCTTGCAGGATTAAGCAGTGCTCTCTGTCACCTCTGGTAAACATACCCAGCAGCTACAGCACACACACAGGACTAGTTCTTCTTTCCATAGCTGAGTTTTATTCTTAACAGAAGCTAGTTTGTTTCTTCCCATCCTGTTTGTAGCAGTTGTTTTTGTGATTATGATTATATAATCTATATAAATATTAGAAAAACCAATGAACTATGAGTCAAAAATAAAATTCCTTCAATGATCATTAAGTTGAACCATTAAAAAAGGCTGCCAAATCAAGTTCAGACAACTTTAATAGCAGGAAAAAAAATTGCAAAAATCTAAAAAAAATTCTGTTTTGTGTTTATCTTTAGGATCTCTCTTTAACAAAAAACTTTGAATGTGAATTATCGATTATACACAATGAAGATGGTTTATGCAAGAAAAGACTAATGCCAACTCCAATGTGCAGACCCAATTCAAAAACACAATTTTGTCCCTCCATCAAATGAGTGAGTGAGCGTACATTAAATATTTTAACTTAAAATGTATAAAGAGATATACATATATATATACATACATATAAATTATTACTATTTCCAGCTTCAACTAACTTTTTGACTAACAACTACTGGTCTCAATTATAGTTAAGAGGACTTTTCTTGTAATTCCACATAGGGTATTAATCCCTTTCTCCTCTGTACATGCTAAGAAATACTCAGGAATTTCTGAAGTCTTAAAATGATTAAAAAAAAAACCAAACCTTAATTCCCATGTCTTCAGGAGATAACAAAGAAATGAAGACTCTTTAACTTACATAAAATTAAAAGATGATAGCACTGTATTTTTCATAGATGAAGAATCATTTATGTTAAAAACAAATACTATTATCTAGCACTGCTTTACTGAAGAAAAGGAAACTAGCTTGAGTTTCAAAGGAGCTACCAAAGAATTCTGCAACAGCAGAAAGAGCACTCACTACATCAGGGTCAGGGGACCTAGAACCAGCTGGCTTTGTTGATTACTGGCTATATGACTAGGTAAATTATGTAACCTCTCTAGTACATAGTTTTTCCTTGTTTAGAAAAAGAGGAGACTACACTAATCTCCAAGGTTTTCTTCATTTCACCATTTCTAGTGAAGATAGTTATAAGACAAGTACCACATGGACAGCCACAGAAATCTCATTCTTGGGGGCACTTTTAAGTTAAGACAGACTCACTTTTGTAAGCGATCTTAAGAGTGGATGTATGGAATACTACAAAGAATCTGCCCTTTCCAAGCCTTTTTTCAGCCCTACCAGTTGATAATCTTTACTAGAGTCAAACCTTGTGTATTCCTTGACCTGTTTTCAGAGTTAATGGTCTACTGCCATCTTGTGTTCAAAATAGTTTTTCCACAACCAAAAGTCATTGATGTCAAGACAGTCTGAGAAATATACTTTTCCATAAGTCAATTTTCGTTTATGGTTTCTGGAAAATAGTATTCACAGATAATCAAAATTTGATAAGCATGAGCATAGGAAGTACTTAAAATATGGAGGTATTAGCAAAACCCACAGTAGCAAACAGCTTGCTACTCACCACAACAGAGAGCCCTTAAGATGCCATTCTTTCCATCATTCATGAAACATTTAATTATCCTAAATGCAGACATATGTATTTTTTGCAAATAAAGAGCCCATGTGAGTAACACGCAGATGCATATGATGTGCATAGCGCAGATAAGAAACATGTGAAGGGGTTATGTGGTTTGAAAAAAAAAAGTTAACATGTTATTTGCCTAAAAATATGGCAAATAAAGTCCCAGCCATTGTCCTCAAGCAGTTTATCTATTAAGGGAAACTGATATATGTCCTATAATGACAGTTTAATGCGGTAAATTCTGTGAGAGATTAGCACAATGAATTTTCTAGGGAAGTAGCAGGAAGGAAAGACAACCCCCAAGGGCTCTGACAAACCTATTCTACATTCCTATATACTCTTTCTAGCTCCCAAAGGCTATTGGATCTAACTATCATTTCATTAATTCAGTAATATTTATAAGTACCCACTATGTGAACAAAACAGACAATAGTTCTTTCCCTCATTTAGCACCCATTCTATTTTTTTAAAAAACCATTAAAAAAAAAAAAAAAAAAGAAAAACCTAACTCACTCTGAATTTCCATGTACTCAGAAGATATCACCTGTTAGAATACAGAGGACTAATGAGATTTTCAACTCTGGCTATAAATCTGAGACCAATTTACTATGACTGGGGTGAAACTCAAGAATCTCTATCTTAGGTGCCAGAGCTGAGAATCACTGCCTTAAGAAATAACACGTAAAATCAAGAAAAATGCATTATTATTTTTTTTTTTTTTAAAGAGGATGAAGGAAGGTACATTTAAAAAAAATGACAGTATTCCTTGAACTTGTGAAAAACCCCAACCGTGGCAGCCATGCCAAAATGAATTACTACTACTGGTGTACTTAGAGAATCTCTAAAGTTTACACGGTTTAGAAGCAACAAGAATTTATTGAACACTTATTATGTAAATGGCATGTATGGGTGATATAAAAATATGCAGTAGAGATGGAAATATAAATGGAGCAGCTGGCAGCTATAAACAGCATGACTCCCAAACATCATAGGAATGCTGCAAACACCAGCTGTGTGGTGAGCCAACAGAATTCAAGCCTCCCAGGCTCCCCACTCCCTACACTCTGAAGAGAAGCAATGTACCAATTGATACTTCTTTGGGTTTACATTACTGATGTTTATATTACATGTTTGTGTTACATTACTAACCTCAAACATGGCTGGGCATTAGAATCACCTGGAAATCATTTTAAAAGAGACTGTGTAGCCTCACTGGAGAGTAAATCACTCTCTGGAGGTGGAAGAAGAGCTTGGAACTCAAGCTTCTACAGTTTTAACAACTTCTCAAGTGATTTTGATGCACAGCAAGGTTGGAAGCCATTGGGCTATACCTTCAAAGGGAAAGAGAAACACTAGTTAAAAGTTAACAAAATGCAAAAGGTGTAATGGGGGGGGAAATCATTTCACTGTAAGTTGTTCATATAGCTTTAAGGTACAAGGTATCTCTTACCCATCTGACTGTGTTCTTAGCTCAAGGACTTTGAATCTTTGTCTTCCAATCGCTTTCACTTTCACTATCTCAATTCCAAAATCCTGTTCTTCTCGATAAGCATATATCTCAGCTGTTGTTCCAAACTGTGCTTCTCTTTCCTGTGTATTACTTCAAAGGTAAATTTTAAAAAGAAAAAGTTTTGAAAAGTTGACTTTACAATATGCAGCGTCAGCAACAACAGTACGGGGGATGGGGACCATTTGTAACAATCAGCCCTCACTGCAAAGCTATTATCATGTTACTTATTTTTAAATCACACTGGGAGATTATATATACAGCGAGGCTTCAGGAAGTGCATTTAGAACATCTAAGGAAAATAACAGATATCTAACCACTGAAAATGATCAAAGACTGAAAGGGATTCAACCTCTGACTCCCTAACCAAACATTCTTTTACTTGTGAGATCATTTCTGGTGGTTAGAATGTCCTAAGTTAATTTCCAACCCCTACCATTGATTTCCTCCATTAGCCATGTGATATTTGAAATTCAGTTTCAATTTACCACTGGTCAGAAATGATAAAATTTGTGAATTTTAAGGAAGAACAAACAAGCCACTCTTTTTTGGAAAATTAATCCTTTACATTAAAACGTAAAAGCTCTTTCTCTTTAAATAAAGACAGTTCCTAAAAATAAGATTGTAGAAATGTTTAACATTAAATAGTAATGATTAAAAATTTTTCAAGTACCAGAAGTTCAACGGTGTGTGATGGTAAATGTCTGATTTAGATGGTAATGAAAATAACAAAATCTCCATATTATACTTTCAAACTTTTAATTAACAAAATTCTTTACCATGTATTATTACTTAACCTCTTGGACAGAATAGTGGGCTCTAGGTTCAACATTGACCTCTAATGTGGCAACACATGAGAAGCCTGTGTTAAAAAATTCACTCTAATATTAATTTTACCTGTATGCAAGAACTGCAAAGGTTCTATCTTTCTGAATTAAATTCCGCACCATACTGACTTCTTGAGGGCTAAAAAGCTGAAGAGGTAATGTCTGCCCAGGAATCAAGATCATCATCACCTGTGGCAGAACTGGAATCACTTGACAGCTGTCATCATCATGCAATGTCCTGCCATGAAATTCTTCCATGTCAGCACCCAGGTACTATTTAATAACAAGCATATGTACAGTGCCATTAGAGATATTAATAAAAATACAACAGATCAAATTAATAAAAAGCTTAACAGACCGACAGGGTACAAATATTTATTTAAGTGATAAACTCACTGCATAAGCACACCGCATAAATATCTAATTTTAAATCTTAGAAGTAACATTTCCAGCATTTTGTCAAGAATCTCTCACAAACACACACATTCAAGAGCATTTTTTAAGTTGAACATAATTTATTTTGATTAAGATAAACTCATCTCTATGTCCAAGTATCACAACAAATCCCAAGTCTAAAATGTCAATGTGTTAACACCCTGGTACCTGCTAGTACTAGTAACAAAAGAGTTAAGAAATAATTTAGTAAACCAATTATTAGCAAAACCATAAGCATAGCAATAATTTCTCACAGAGTTATACTAGGGCATAGCATTGTTGTTGTTGTTGTTGTTATGTGCCATCGAGTCGGCCCCGACTCATAGCGACCCCTCCTTGGGTTTCCGAGGAGTGGCTGGTGGGTTTGAACCGCCAGCCGTCTGGTTAGCAGGCAAGTGTCTTAGCCACTATGCTACCAGAGCTCCCGGGCATAGCATTACTACATATAAATATCCTCCTCATCCACAATTTCTGGTGTAACAGTCAAAGCAAAAATTAAACCCACTGCCATAGAGTCAATTCCGACTCATAGCGATTTTATAGGACAAAGCAGAACTGCCCCATAGGGCTTCCAAGGCTATAAATCTTTACAGAAAATCTTTCTTCTTTCTTCTGGAGCTGCTGGTGGGTTTGAAACGCCAGCCTTTTGGTAAGCAGGTGAATGTCTTAACCACTGTGCCACCAGAGCTCCTGAGGTAACAGCCGATAATGCTAAAATCAATCATATATTTGTAAGAATTTTTATCTACAGTTAAATGTATTACATCTATTACATTTAGATGTGATACTAAAATACATACGGTATGTGATGTTGGCAGACTGGTGTCAAAATTTATGATGTTTGGTTTTCTAGCTTCTTTGCTATCCTGGTCTTCAACTTCCATCTCAATTTCATCTTCTTCCTCACTCTCTGCTGTTAAGAAAAAAAAAGATGCATGAAAATGTCAAAGCTGTTCTCTTTCAAGCATAAAGTTCATTCATGAGGATCCCGGGCTCCTGAGAAAACGTGTTATTTTAATGTTGTTGATTTTAGAGTACTTTTAGATTTCAGAAAAGTTACAAAGACAGTACAAAGTTCCTGTACACCCCATAGCCACTTTCCACTACAGTTCACATCTTATACTGCTATGGTACATTTGTGACAACTAAGGAACCAGTGTTAGTAGATTACTATTAACTAAACTCTACATTTTATTTGGATTTCCCTTAGTTTTTCTAATGTTCTTTTCCTGTTCTAGGGCCCCATCTAGGATCCCACATTGCATTTAGTTGTCACATCTCCTGTCTTAGTTGTCTAGTGCTACTGTAACAAATACCACAAATGGATGGCTTTAACAAACAGGAATGTATTCTTTTACAGTTTAGGAGGGTAGAAATCAGACTGCAGAGTACCAGCTTGTAGGGGCTGGGTGAAGGCTCCTTGACTTTGGGCTTCAGCTCTCCCTCTTGTTCCAGGCCCACTGGAACTGGGGACTTTGCATAACTCACAGAGTTGCTGGTTGCTGAGGCTGATAAACCCAAGGTTGGCAGGTAAAATGGCACAAACCCAAGAGCAGCAGGCAATATAGGAAGACTACTAGTTCAAGAACTGGAGATGAAGACTCAGCCAAATGTAGGATCCAAAATGTGCAAAAACCTGGAGACCTTTCCCAAAGTTTCTCCATATATACTGGAAGCAGGCCACACCCAGAAGGCAACCTCCCCTTCCACTGATCAACAACCCATAGCAGATTCCACCATGCAGTTGATTACACCACATCCAATCTCATCACAGGGAAGGACTACACCCAGTTTCCATGCCACTCAACATCACAGCCCAGCCAAGTTGACAAACAATCTTAACTACCTCTATCTCCTTGGCCTCCTCAGAGCTGGGGACTCAGACTTTCCTTGTTTCTGATGACCCTGACAGTTCTGAAAAGTATAGGTCAGGTATTTTGTAGCGTCCCTCAACTGGGATTTGTGTGATATTTTTCTCATGATTACACTAGCATTATGTGTTTTGGGAAAGATCACCATAGAGATGAAGTGCCATTCTCATCATATTCTATCAAGGGTGCAGACTATTAACATGACTTATCCCTGCTGATTTTAACCTTGATCACCTGGCTGAGGTAGCATATATCAGGTTTCACCATTGTAAAGTTACTTTTTCCCCTTTTTATACTGTACTCTGGAAGCAAATCACTAAGCACAGCCCACACTTAAGGGGTAAGGAGTTAAGCTTGACCTCCTTGAAAAGGGATTATCTATATAAATTATTTTAACTTTTTCTATATGGGACATTTGTTTCTGCTTCTTTGCCACTACTTTTGATACTTTAGGCAAGTCCAATCCACCTGATTAAACCTCAGTTTGCTCATCTGAAAAATGACAGGCTTGAACAAGACAATTTCTAAGGTTCTTTCAAACTCTTAAGTTTAAAAGATTCCTACAGAAGAAAAAAAACCACTTAATATTGAAACAAGGTATCATTATAACCTTGCAGAAAGAATTTTGGAGCATTTTTGCAATGACACTAATTCTCTGGCTGTCACTCTACTATTTAAAAATGGTATGTTTATAATTTTCATACATATTTTGCTTTGTCATTTTGATTTAAAAAATAAAGTTGGCATGAAACATAAAAACATTTTTAAAGAAATCTCTTAGAAGGCTTTATCTATACACATTTTTTAAATTATGAAAACAAAGCTTGTCTGCTTAAAAAATCAGATGTTCCTCACAACAGGGATGATGAATCAAAACTCTGCTTATGCTATTAAGGTTAGAAAGAGCTATGCTCTAGGTGCTATTAAGTGGGAATCTATTCTTTTCATGCCAGCACTGGGTAAATTTCCTAGCCCAGACCAGTAGTTCTCAAGTAGGTGCAATTTTTGCCTCCCAGGGAACATTTGGCAACGTCTGGGGACATTTCTGGTTGTCACCACTGGGGGGATCCTGTTGGCATTTAGTGAGCAGAGATCAGGAACGCTACTAAACATCCTACAATGCATAAGAGAGCCGCCACAACAAAGAATTATCTGGCCCCAAAATGCCAGTGCTGAGGTTTGAAAAACTAGCCTAGACTGAGCATCAAGATGGACTGAATCTCATTCCTGACCTCATACATTTTCAAATGCCCCAAGCAAATGTTTAAATAAAGTGCCATTACAAAATAGTCATTTTTCCTTTGTGCATATAATTATTTAAATAACACCACTTCCAGCTAGATTCCAGATAGAAAACAGAAATGTTTTTCAGTATGGTAACTGCTTCATCATTCCAAAGAATTCCTGGCTATAAGATTTGTTGAGAAGGGATGTAAGTATTTCAACTTACATTCAAAGGGTCAAAGATCTAACACTCTATATAATTTTTGCAAGAACACGGTGTTTACATGTTCAGTAGTTCCTACCATTAGAGTTAAAAAAAAATATCTAAAGTAATAAGAAAAATACTCTGATTGTAAGTCCCTGTCTTTAAATCCTGACAGCATAACTTTCACAGTGCAGGGGGAAAGACTCCCTTCATTGCTCTACTACTCTTTAAAGGGAATTTAAAAGATCAACTATTGGCTCAAAGGCTAGAATTCATATCTTTAAAACTGTCATTGTAATTGTTCTGCCTTTTAATGTAAAAGGCTTCCCAGTCTTTAAATGATTTCCTTATCCATTAGCGTTCCTCCTAAAAACATAGCTAAAACGTACTTCCCCATACTTGGCAATATTTATCTATTAATGTTTTAATTGGCCAAGATTCTTTGAATCCTAGATGTTAAGCTATTTCCCTGGCACTTAAGAGGATTACTCCTCAAAAAACCAAAACAAAACAACTCACTCTAAAAGGGTTTATGGACAATCCCGTTTCTCTACAAATAAAACTCCTATGATTTGGAAAAGATTATATCAAAATCTTTTGGCTCTCTCACTTCTGAACTTCACCTACCAAAAGAAAACACACACTGACTTTTCAGAGCTACAAGGGTAAAGTCTGATGACTCATCTCATGAAGGAGCAACATGTGAGTGCCAACAGAACAGCAGCAGCCTCCCTCTTCTATTCACCATCTTCGCTGAAACACTGAGTTTGGCATGTAAACGGCAGAACTGATTTATCTGAAAAAATCGTTCAGCTCTTTAGTTGAAGACTGGCACACTTATGCTTATGTCAACTCAGCTATGCTGGCTTCAGAACAACCACTGACTCTGACCATGGTCTATTTTTATAGAAAACATATCTCCTATATGATGAGTAGGCATTCAGTATCTTCCTTCTCCAACCCCTGCTACTCACAGTGGACAAATAATCCCCACAAAGCATAGCTCTTTTTAGGCAACTGCTGAAACCTGCAACTGCTTCTTGACAACCCCACTGGCAAGATGGAAGTTCCAGAACAACACAGACCCAACCTCATTCCAATTTCCCTCTCGAGTTTTATTTTTCAGCAATGGGTTCAAATATAGGAAGGAATATACTATTGTCTACCAGAAGAATAAATCAGGCTTCAACAAAGTACAGCCATCACGCTCCTTAGAAGTGAGGATGGTGAGACTTCGGCTCATATACGTTCATGTTATTAGGAAGGACCAGCCCCTGGAAAAGGATGCTGTGCTTGGTAAAGCAGAGAGTCAGCAAAAAAGAGTAAGATGCTCACTGAGATGAATTGGCACAGCAGTTGCAAGAATGGGCTCAAAACGATGACTGTGAGGACTGCACAGGGCCACGCAGTGTTTCGTTCTGTCGCTGTGAGTCAGAACTGAGTTGATGGCACCTAACAATACTAAGCATGTAGGTTTCCTCGGCACAAATGGTTAAGTACTTGACTATGAGCAGAAAGGATAGCAGTTTGAACCCACCCAGATGCACCTTGGAAAATAGGCCTGGTGATCTGCTTGTGAAAGTTCACAGCCTTGAAAACCTGATGGAGTGCAGTTCTACTCTGCACACATGGAGTCCTCATGAGTCAGAATCAACTTGATGGAAAATTACAATACTAAAATCATATGCATTTAGATGCCTTGAGATGTCCCTCACAAGGATTTCCACCAATCCTTCTGCTCCCTCAACACTCCCACCCTCTGAAGGACCACAACAACATTCACTTATCTGGTCATCTTGAGGGCTCTGGTGGCACAGTGCCTAAGACATATGACTGCAGTGCAAACCCACCAGCCACTCTGTGGAAGGAAGACGGGGCAATCTACTTCTGTAAAGATTTACTGCCCTGGAAACCTTATGAAGGTCGCTATGAGACGGAAACAACTCTATGGCAATAGGTTAGCTGGCCCTAAATCACAACTGCCTTCTGCCAGTTATCTTTTTCGGTACCAACATCTAGATTAAAAACCTCCTTAAGCATCATCACACTTTGTGTCATACGTCTCATCACCAACACAATATATTGCACATTGGCTGGCATATGTGAAGGGGCTTCCTTAACAGTTCCTGTTTAGGTGAGCATCTCTTAGAAAGCATGTCTTGTCTATAGCTTTACAAGGAAAATTTGTACAAGTATTCTACGCCTTTTTGAATTCCTGATCAGTATCCCAAAACAAGACCATGGTTTAAATTTTCACAGTATATAAAAGAGAAAGTTGAGTTTATCATCACATTCCTAAGACTTATCTCTAGTTAAACATGCTTTATTTACATGCCTAACAAAATATATCACTACTAACATGGCAGTAGAGTGATTAAGAGACACTGGCCATGGTGTCAGGTAGATATGGATTGGAGTCCAGGCTCTGCAGCTGTGTGACCTTGATCGAGCCACCTAACTTATCTGACGGTCAATTTTTCACCTACCAAATCGGGGTCACAATGGTGATGTGGAAAAGGATTGAACAAGAAATGCATGCAAAATGCTCAATACAGAGCATTTCCTATGGTAAACGCTTAATACATATCAGCTGTCACTTTGTTAAAGGGAAGTCCACAGAAAGTAACGGTTGATAACCTGGCCCTGTCCCTGTCATTTCAGAGCATTTATTGGAGCCAAGCTCAGGAGGATGAAGAGGACCGGGTCCCTGCTCCGGGAGCGACCACTCCCCCAACATCCTCGCCTACAGGACGGGGCAGCCGAGCAGGGTAGCGATGTGCCGTGACTAAGTCGCAGATTAGGGGCTTGACGAGGTGCCTCCTCCAGGAGCGGCCCCCAGGGCCCTGACGGCCTTGGCATTCCTGTCCCAGCGCGCACAGCCGACCCCCCACCCCGCCCTCCTAGCTCCGCCGCATTGCTCGTGGCTCTCAGGCCTCGCTCCACTCCTGCTGCAGGCAGCAGCCGGGGCAATTACCAGGTAAAAGCGGCAGGTGGTTCCCCATGTTGTGCGCAGCGTCCTGCTCTTCTCCCTCGCCGGCCATGTCTGTTTACCCGCAGAGGAGGCTGGGACAGGGCGGTGCCGGGAACGCTGCGGACGCGGGGGACGCCGGGAGAGGGGCCACGCCGTGCCGCCGCCGCAGCGCGCCCGGGGACCCACAGCGCCCTCTGGCGGCCTCCTGAGACAGCGGCCCTGGAGAAGATCTGAAACCTAACACCCAACAGGCCAGAACATAAGACTGTGTGGCTCAGCCATGGACAGAAAGTTGCCAAGCGCCACATGTAACTCACTGCCCACTGTACACATCAGTCCTCTGAGCTCTTTCCAATCCCGGGTATGACTTAATCTGTTTTGGTTACCCACTGCCATTCTGGTAAGAATATACCATAAATGGGATGGCTTGAACAAATGGGAGTTTGTTCTCTTAAAGTTTGGCTGCTTCAAGTCGAGTTCAAAGTGCTGGGTGCTAGGGCCTGGTTGAAGGCCCCTCAACCTTGGGCTTTATTAGCTCTGCCGCCTGCTCCCAGCCCAGTGAGGCTTCTCTTCACTCAGACAGCTGCTGGCTCCTGAGGCTGACAAGCAAAAAGGCACAGTCCCGATGTTATCAAACCACACAGCAGGCCATTAATTCATGTCCACTGGAATTCCCAAAGTTGGCAGAGCATGGCAGGCTGAAAAACGACAGGACTACATTCAGGGTTCAAGCGTGCCATAAGCTAGAGACCATTCCCAAAGCTGTTTCTTATATACAGGAAGCTGACCACATCCCTAAAGCAGCTGCTCAGCTGCTCCAATAGATTCCACCATGAAGTTAATTAGTAATCTCACCATGGGAAATAACTACATTCAGCTGCCCAGCCACTCAACCAGGCCCCAGCCAAGCTGACATACAGACTTAACCACCACATATTTAAACAGGGAATTTTACATATGGGGAAAATGAGGCTCAGATTCTTTAGTCTTTGCTTTGTTTTTAAACGAAGGGCGTTGAAAGCATTACCTCTAATTTTTGAAAAGAAAAAGTACATACTGGGTATGAAAACTAGAAAAAGGTATCAGTTATTCCAAGGTTGGTTGGATTATAATGGATTTTCTTTTCAACACTTTTCAGTAGCTCATGTGTGTGTGTGCGTGTCTATATATATATATACATATATGTATATATATATGTGTGTGTGTGTATATATATATAGCAGTTCTGGTAGCGTAGTGTCTAAGGCACCTGACTGCTAACCAGAAGGCTGGCGGTTCAAACCCACCAGCCACTCCTCAGAAGGAAGGTTGGGCAATCTATTTCCATAGTGATACCGCCTCGGAAACCCAAGGAGGGGTTGCTATGAGTTGGGTCCGACTTGATGGCATATAACAACAACAACAACAAACACACACACACTAAAATTAGCATTATTAATAAGAAGCAAATATTTGAAATGATCACATAGAGTTGAAAAATGCCTGTTATCTGTGATTGACTGCTAAGTGACTCAGGATATAAAATATCCTATTCATTATGATTGCAATTGAGTACATGTAAGTCCTTATGTAGTTAAAATATACTAAAATAGGGAAAAAAGAAAATAATTCTATTATGGTAGTGAAGTTGTGGCTGGTAAGGTGTTTGTTTTGGAGGGTGAAATAATAGCTTTCTTCATCTTTTTTCAGCAGAGAAAAACTGAAAAATACTTACATGAAATAAAATATCTGAACATGGTGAGAAGCCAGTAAGGGAAAGCAGCAGCAGTGTTCTAGGGAAAACAATAATGAACCTGAGATTGTTTTTAATGGTTTTTGGTTTCCAGAAAGTTTACTTCATTGAAAAGTCACAACCCCACAACCTCTTTGTGAGAGAGACTTATGAATCAACCCTGCATCATTCTGTCTTCTGTCCCCAAATCTGTGGGCTTGGTCAAATTGCTTATATCCTCAGGCTTCTATTTACCTAAGATCCAGTCTAGTTTATAATGCCTACAATATTAATAATGTGTTGCCTTTTACAATGAGGTTAACAACAATTACATAAACTATTGTGAAGAGATAATGGAGTCACCAAGAGTCAGAATAGTCTTGGTAGCATCTAACAGCAGTGTAACTAAGGTGATCACGTTGGTCAGTAAAAGAATGAATTCTAGGTCAGGAGGGCAGAAAGAAAAGTGCAGCATGGAATAAGGAGAAAGAATGATGTGTGTGTGTGAGAAAGATTTGAAAACATCCACACACACCCACACACACTTATTTGATACTATAGCATTATCAGCCTCAGTACAGTTTGTAAAATTTCAATGAACTGCACTCATCTGCAAAAGTTTCTTCACAGAGCAAGCAGCTGGCCTCTGAGCAAGGAAGGTCTGACCTTCCAGTGCTCCTCCCCAGAGATGGCACCAGTCTGCACCCTGGGTCAACCAAGACCTCTCTGGACAAGAAATGACAGCTGTAAGCCTTAGTGGAGTCGCCGGATGCGGCTGGAAAAGCACTGGCTCGTTCTTCTTTTGTGCATGGCTCCAGCGGGTCACAGAGCTATTGCCCACATATCGTTTACTCCTCATTCTCCTCCTTTTCTCCCTGCCATTTAACTTACCATCTGCTCCCTCCTTCATTTTATCCCTCCAAAGACTACTTAGTCATCCATAGCTACGTCTTTCAATAGGGACAATAACAGATGTTCATTGAACAAAAATATCTAAACAAGGTTTCCTGGACTTAGCTCTGATAATTAAAATCAAAAAGGAAAGCACAATCATTTACCATTTATTTTTCATTTGGTAACTGTTCTGGTTACCTAGTGCTGCTCTAACAGGAATATACCACAAATGGGATGGCTTTAACAAACAGGAGTTTATTCTTAAAATTTGCCAGGCTTTAGGGGCTGGGTGAAAGCCCCTCAACCTTGGGGTCCAGCTCTGCCTCCTGCTCCTGGCCCACTGAAGGTAGAGGCATTTCTTCACTCAGACAGCTGCTGACTGCTGAGGCTGAGAAGCCCCAAGGTTGACAAGTAAAAAGGCACAGTCCCGATGTTACCAAACCACAC